ACAATTAGTTGTATACAGGATAGCAGTAAAAACTGTGAAACTTGGAATTAACTCATAGAATATCTATTGATGGGTTGTGGTTCCTGTTCCGCTCTTTACAGATGTTATTTGGAAATAATTATTAGAATGAATTCAATTAAACATTCTAAATGGTGATATATGGAACGATTTTCATGAACACTTGTACAGGTTGTTCTGAATTTGTGTCATGTTCTGTACTCTGAGATTTTCATCCCATTTCCAGTAACAACTGTGCAGAGAATAATCTACAACAATTACAACCAAAAAAACCTGCAGGTTGATTGACAAACTCATCCCACTTTGAAATTGCTGCAGCCTGAAAGATTCCTTCAGTCAACTGAAACACGTGTTTGCAGGTGTTTTATTGGCATCAACAGGACTTAAACATAAACCAAAGTGTGTTCCTGAATCTGGGATTGGGAAGGTAGCTTGTAATTGCATATAAAATGTTTTGATCCTTAGTCTCTGAACGATTGGCTCCACTGCAGTTTCTAGTGAAAACACATCTGCACTGAGGGACTCAGCAAATCTCAGACCTGCTCAACTCTGTGTTGAATCATTGAGGCCAGACTTCTCTATGTGCTGTCCAAAATGCACCTGCAATGCTGGCATTTCAGAGGTAGGCTCCCATGGATTAAGTGTCTTTTTTATCCTTGACTCTGATTGCTTTTTAAATAGGTTTTGTTGTGGGGTTTTGGGGTTTTTTTCCATTAACTAGCCAAGATAGGTTGCTGGTCTTACTTATTCTCATTTCACTTAACTTTTTACTCAGACTGTATCCCTCTGACCTGAAACATCTCTTCCCTAAAGAAATCTGGGTGGTTTTGAACAGATGTGGAGACATGACAGAGTTCATTTAGAACATAATCAACAGATAATAATAGGGTACTCAGAGAAATTGCAGTGAATGACAAGTACCGTCAGCCTTTTCAAAACAGCCAAATTAGGCATTTTTAACTCCACATGCACAACAGTGTTAGAAGAAGCAGGAAATGACTAATTTGGAATCCTTTTATTATGTTCTAGTTTTTAAGAAATGATAATGTAACATTCTAAAGCATTATCCTGATCCTTCTGTGCTTGCTGTCTCTATAAGAAATAAAATCCTGTTCCATGTGTTATTTGAAGCAGACTGGCTCTCTTGTGTACTTGTATCCTTCATCTTCTGCCCTGAGGTTTGACAGTGCTCAGCTTGGCAGGATGAGGCCCCCGCATCCCTCACGTATGATTTGCAGTTTTCATTACTGTAAAGATCCATCTGTTTATGAAACTCATATTCCTCAGATTTCTATAATATGGTAGCTAATCGGAGTGCTCAGGAAGGTTTGGGTTATTCTCATTCCTGTGTCTCTTGTTTCAAATGCTGATGAGAGGACTGAGCAGGATTTTGTGTCTCCAGCTGTGAGTTTCTTGTTGCAAGGGAAGGAGGACCAGTGCCTGGCCAGGCTGGCAACCAGGATGGTTCCTCCCAGAAAGATATCTAGGCCACGAAAGCCCTGAAATGCCAGGTTTGGGGGTCAAACCCAGGTGGCAGAGGCAGTGGTGAAGTGGGGATTGGCCCCTTGCACCCCAAGACCCAGTAACCATCTGCCCCTCTGTCTCCTGCCAGAGCCACCAGGAGTCCTCAGGGCTCTGATCTTCAAATACCTTGGTGTAACAAAAAATAACTGGAAATGCATTCTGGGTCTCCTCCTCTCCCTCCTGACTTTTCCATCTCCTGTTAACCCTTGCCCAAAAGCAAGACCCACCACTGTCACAGCACTTCTTTGTACAGGGTGTGCAGGATCTCAGAAGCTTCCAAATGTGTGAAATACAGGCGATTCATACAGCACTGGCACATACACCAATGTAGCTTGCATGCTGCTTGTAAAACTTGGCTTCCTTGAGTTTGTTACCGTGCGTCATAACTTGCAATTCAGTATTTTATATGCAGGTAGGTCATTTCTGCATGCGTCACCCAAGCTATGCTATGCAAGCCAGGGTCAGGAGAAGCTTAGCTATCAGTCTCCTGCTAATCTCAGTTTTTAATCAAGATATCTTCAATAACCTGTGCTTGCAAAGGCAAAGACACTGATATTAGGGGAGTCTGAGTGGCTGTGTTCTCCTCCTCAGACTGAAGAGGATTCTCTATGCTGACGGTGAGCATTAAGGAAGCCAGAGAAAAGATGACAAATGCTTTTGTAAAAGGGATCATCAGAAGACACAGCAAGTTCAGTGATCATTGAGGCTTATCTTAACACATGAACAATGTCTCCTGAGAGCAGTACTGCCTGGCTGCAGATTGGCTGAGAAGCACTTCATTTGACTTATTTTTATTTTATTTTATTCTTTACATGGTCTGTATCTTGGGTATATTTTGTTGCTGCTTGTGTCTATTTAAAAACTGGAACAAATAATTTTGAACAGAAAAATCATTCATAGTCTCTGCAAATGCATAGAACCAGTAAAAACATTAGGCTTGGAGATGTGAGTAAAGCTGGGTCTTGATGGAGTTTGCCAGCTGGGAGCCTGCCATTTACAGTTGCTTTAGAAGCACTTTCCTAGTTGCTAACTAAACTACTTTCCTTAAAGAAAGCAGAAGAGAAAAAATATTCTGAGCTAATACATACTAATTGGTCAGATGATGTGGAAATGGTGATGAGAATTGCCTAAAATGTGCTGGCTAAGAGATAAGCTCGGGAACTTTGCAAGGAGTACATCAAGAATGCTATTAAAGCTTAGCAGAGTCCTCACCCTTGTTTTTTTTAAACCTGCTGGGCTAATTATGTGTCTCCATTACCTGTGGCAGCTAGGTATTTCATTGCCAGCCTACATCCATTTTCAGACCTATCTCTATTTGCTTTTCTTCACAATTCCTGCAGTTATTTCCAGGTTGATATTTTTATTTGGGCATCTATTCTCTCAGCGCACAGACAAGCTTTCTATTTATTGAAATTCATCTTTGTATGGTGGAGATTAAAGCGTGGAATTGATTAGAGAGGAGAGCTTTGAATCCACAAAGTACAATCTGCCTTTCATTTATATTTCAGACCTGACTTCACCCCATATAACATTCACTCTACAGACCCCATCTCCACAAAATACTTAGGTACTAGATTTAGATGCAAATGTACAATCATTTTCTGCCTGAACTTTGAGGATATCTTAAATCTTAGTGCACTAAACTGGCATGTTTGCATAAGTCTCATTGCCCCAGTTTCTGCAATGGGGTATGCACCTGCTCTACCCGAGATAAACACTTGCTTGTTGTTAAGTTATGTCTCCTTCTAATGAAGATTTGAAGTTCTTGCTGATCTCCATTTATGAACACCACAATTAGAACCTGTGCTCTGATTACAGCACTTAAGGAGGAAAAGGGAAACCAAGATTTCAACCTTTTGATAGATAAGAAGACGTAAATATGCAAGCTCCACCTTGCAGAAGGTCTCACCACTAAAATATAGGCTGTTCCCCAGCTCTTCCCCTCAGCCCCTTCTCCTAAACACATATCAGAAATGGCATCTCCCCATTTCTGCAAGAATGCTCTAATCCCAGCCCTGAAGGGCTTTCTGGTTCCCTGCAACTATTGAATTTTTCTATGATGAGTGAAACAGCTCTTCATAACCCTCAGCATACAGGACAGCATAGTAAACAAAGTTGGGATACACACACACCCATGAGAAGCAACCTCAAACCTATGACAAAGTCATTAAACCAACTTATTAAAAAGATATTCGTTATCAAGAATATCTCAGGTCTGAAGGGGAAAAACTATCCAAAGAAATTTAGCCCACTCTGTTAACGCCATATTTTAAATAATGCTGTTCTACCTAGTTAAAGTAAGTTTGCACAGTGCTTTGAGATCTTTGCCTAACAAGAAAGGCTAATAAGTTGCTATGTGTAAATGTTAGAATTAATAATTTAGAAAATATGAGAGTACAAAGCCAGATTACTCTTATCATTTCATCAAAGCCAGGTTTAACTATCTTCTTTTTTTTGGCTGCTTGCTTAATTAGATAAGCTGCTGAATTTAATTAACTCATCAAACCTAATTTGAAAAGATCTCTCAAGTCAGTAAGAGTTTGTCTTAGGCTTATTATTTCTATTTGTTGCATTGAGTCTTTAATATCACCATTTTGTTAGGTTATTAATGATAGGCTTAATTGTGTTCTAATTTACTGCATTTACTCAGATGGTGGCATTTTCCTCATTTTTTAAGTGTCAGCATGTGAAAATCAATCACAATTAAATTTAAGGCAGTGAAATTGCTCTTCTAGCCCTCGATCAAGTCAGCTACAAACTATCTCTTTTCCCTTAAGTGCAATTTGGGTTGGCAAGGTGAAATTATTTCATAGGAAATCCTGTTGAGTTTCTGAAGTCCTATTTCCTGGAGAAGTGTTATGACAAAAAATTATCCTCTGGATATTCTTTTGGGATTGTTTAACCAAACTGTTAGGTAATAAATTTGAAACTGAAATTGATATTACAACTTTATAATTCATTCAAACACAGCTGTGTGTGATGCTCCAGCTTGTCATTCCAGACTGAAACTCCTTGAAAGCTACTAAAGAAAGAATTAGTAGTGAAGATACTAAATTATGAAATTTGCTGTAAATTCTGACCTGTTAGCAGGACCTTTGGCCATTCTTTCATATTCCTAGAAGATATGCCACACAGAAAGGAGAGATCAAGCAATTGCTTGAAATCAGAATTTCCCTGTAAATTATTTACTTGTTCTGTAAAGTATATTCTATTGGATTCTAAACTATGTTGCTGATTAAACATTGGTAATTAATTCTGGAGTAATTAATATATATTTCTGAAAAGCTAGCTATGTCTTGGGTGAAATCAAGTGCTTCCTTACTACTCCAGATTGTAGTTTTGCAGAAGTAGCCCTGCTGAGGAGTGCTCTCTCTTGCTTTTTTTCTGTTCACTTGTTTGTTTGAGGTGTGTTTTCAAGTGCACAATCAAATAACTTGTGTTTCTCTGTTTCCTCTTAGAACGACTATAGGAAGCTATCTATGCAATGCAAGGACTTTGTCGTGGGGGTGCTGGACCTGTGCAGAGACACTGAAGAAGTAGAGGCGATTCTCAATGGAGATGTGAACATACATCTGTTCCCTGAGCACCACCGGCCAAGTCTGAGCAGGATTAAACTTGCTATCAAATACGAGGTTAAAAAGGTAAGCTATTTCTTTGGATCCTTGGTGGATACTTCTTCACTTCTAAATTATGCTTCCTTGATGTCATCTGAAAAATAACAAATGAAATATTGCTTTCAGCGGGACCAGGAATTGTAGTGTTTTATGGCCTGATTTGTGTTTGTCACATACTTTAGTGTGGAGAAGGGTATTTGCAAGGGACACATTACACCAGGTATGGCATTTATTTTGAAGTGATAGACATGGATGTAGAGATGGCACAAGGGACTGCCCGTAGTGCACAGTGCTTCTTATACAGATCATGACTATGAGTCTGTGAAGACTCCAGCATGGATCAAAAGTTGTTACCATACCAAACTGAGGGGTTTCCTTCCTTCGCTGTGATTTACACGAAGGTAAGGGATAAACCCAGCAGGTGCTGTGGCATCTTTGGCCTCAAATTATAAAAGCACAGATTTTAATCCAGCTCCTTGCCATTCCCCAAATACCTATATGTCCTTCAAATTTGATCTTCTGCTTAGACTGAGGAAATAGCTGGACTCTGCAGCATTACTGAAGTTTGCAGACCAAGTCTCCAGTCTCATCTGTCTTCTCTCAAATGCTCCCTGACCACTCAGCACTGATTCACATCTTGTTTCGGTCATCAAAGCCACTTGTAACCATCAAAAATATTACCTTTTCCAGAATGTCACACAAAAAGCACATGCAAAAAGCAGCAGTTTTGTCATAGTCAAGACCATTTACTGCAGTGTGGTGGAAAGTGGAATTAAATTTTTTTAAAAAGAAGTTTTGTAATTTTTGTTCAGAATTTGATCAAAACCTTAAAAATCAATCTCTGATTAACTTGGAATTTTTATTTTTTTTAAAGCATGTGAAAGTAGATAAATATTGATAAAAAATGATAGATTCCAAGCTTCCACTTTCCTAAAGCCCCAGATCCATATTGCAAGAGTTCAGATTTCCACCAAATCTACAAAGCAGAAAGTAAATGTATGTTTTAAGGAAAAACATGAAGACTGAATGACTTTTCAAAGTATTTTAAACAAACATTCAACTTTATGGAACTATGTTCTGTGAATGGAAAATTTGATTCTGGCAAATCCTAGGCCTGGGTGGTCCCATTTAATTGCTCCTACAATATGCACTGATGGAAACTGGGCTCCTGCTATGGGATTTGGAGAGTGTTCCAAATTTTCAAGCTAACATCTGCTCTCTTTCCCCTCCCAAACCCACCACCTGCTTCAGTTTGCCTCTTCACTGTGTTGCTGTGCTGGCCAGAGAAGGTCTTTTCCTGTTATGAAAACCATTAATTAAAGAGAATCTTAAAACTCCTCCTTGAAATTAATTGCTTTCATGCAGGAGCACATAGCATGGAGCCAAATATTTTGTCCTAGGATATTGTGTCTCTGCATCTTTCCATCACCAAAACTGAACATAACGTCTCAGTTCATTCTTATTTAGATGACTTTCAACAAGCTGGGTCAGGTTTAGCTATTGAAGCCGTTCCTTTGGTAACAGGAGGACAAACTTGTTCTGGTGTTCTTTCAGAAAATGAACTCATCAAAAAGACACTGATAGCACATCATAAAGGAATGGTCCCCAGTCCCCTATGGTCTGAGAACTATCATGAAGTTGGTCAGAACCTCAAGCCTTTCCAAGGCATGAAGTCTTTTGCACTATTTTACTTGTTTATTCTTCTAAATATTAGTATCATCTTTTAGTTACCAAGATCATTAGCCAGAGCTGAATTGCTGTGAATTATTGTGCTGCTTTGAGCACATTCATCCCAGCTTAGTAGGTTTCAGAGGAATATTTCCTCCATTCCTTACATTTTATCTATGTGCACCTTTTCCTAATGCATGAACACTGACCTAAAGCATCTGTGGTAGGTCATACATACACAGTTAGACTTTTCACTTATAAATATCTTCTATCTGGATCACAGCAACTTGTTGCTCACTGATAATAACTGTTAATTACAGAACATAAACATGAGCATTTCTCAGCCTTATGTTGACTCTCAGGTTAGCACTTTTCAGAATATTCTTTTCAGCAGGCACTATATGTCTATGTGTAAAATGAGCATTTAACTGCTAACTCAAAAATAAGATAGTTTCATTTGTGGGAGCTAGAGACACGTTCAGATAAATGGCTTTGGTTATTGGTAGCGACTTATGATAATAGACTGATATTTATCACACTTGCTGAACAAAGAGATTGTGTTGCAGTAACACAGTAATGATTTCCTTAAGAGGCAATAGATTTCAGGTACAAGTTTTTTATCCAGCTGAGAGATATTTAGGCTTATATACACAAAGCCTGGGTTTTGAAATCTATTTTCATTTTAAGAAAATCCTATAATACAGAGGGGTGAGATGGAGGGTGAATTGTTATACATAGTTGATAAATCAATTCTTGGACAGATTCGGTAACTTTCAAATCACTTTTTTAAAGCCAATACAATGACTCAGGTGTAAGCAAGATCACATGTGTCCCTCCAAGCGTGAAAGACAGATTGAGGCAGGCACACCAAGGGACTTCCCACCAACAGCACCCAAAACACCAAGCCCCATCCCTTGGTCTGATGGTGCTGTTTGCCCAGGTCAAGTCTGGGTGCTGAGATGTTGGTGCCTATAACTGGTGCCTATCCAGAAACAGTCCAAGGGACCTGGAGACCTTTCCAGTTTTTTAACTGCACTCTAGAACTGTAATGACATAAAAATAGTTGTGTTTGCCAGTTTTTTTTGTCCTAGAATTTTGGTTGGCAGGGTAGGACTGATGAAGGGACTACAGCTGTACCACCCCTGCTACCAAAACCTTCCCATGTTTATCATTAGCATCAATACTCAGATGGTCAGTTTTGTATTATCCAGTTCAGCAAGCTCTAGATGAGCCAAATAAATAAAGATGTGCTTATTTAAATGAGTGTAGATCTCCTGAAGTATTTTACACTCCTTGTTTCTCATGAACAGCAAAAAGAATCTTAGACAAGACAACTTCAAGGAATTCATAATGATCTGAGAAAATAAGATAAAAGAGGTGTTAATTGTTATGAGATTTTTTTTAATTTAAGTTAGCTTTTATACTAAATATTTGTATTTGGATCTGAAATTTTAAGAAATATTTTAATTTCTTTTAAAAAAAAGCTGTTTCTACCATTAGCTTCTCAATTCACATTTCCACATTAGTACTCTAAGTGCTTACAGTAGGCTTCCTTCAATGCAAATTTGCAGATAACCATTTATATTGAAAATTATTATTTAATATCCATGATGTTACTTTTACAGCTGCTGGTACAGTCTGTATTTTATCACACTTTTATTTCTAGAGTCTGGAAAAGATGTCAAGGGTTTCCATCCTGAGGCAGGAGAGTAATTGCATCTGTAGAGCTTCATCAAGCCTTTGCACAAACTTTCAAAATCTTTTTTTTTTCTTTTTTTTTAATTTCTGTGTTACTTCATTGTCCTCACACAGTGCAGTCACCACAGCCACAATGTCTAAGAATGATATTTTTATTTAACAGTAGCAGCTGGTCTACCAGCTTCTCCCATCCCCTGCCCAGTTCACAGCCTTCATGGAGTTGTCCTCCCCTTCAAAGTCCAAGGGTCACGGAGGCCCAGGGGAGGCAGAGATAACAGAATTTCAAAACTGAGAGCCATCACGTTGTGTTTTATGGATTTCAATCAACTCTACCATCTTTTGTCTTTTTATTCTTATGTGCCCATCTGAAAATTTCAGGGATGCAATTGATGCTACATATACACTTTAAATTGTAGGTGTTAATTTTGATTCCAACAGAGTAACTTCTCGATCTTGAATTCAGCAATTGTGTTTCCCAGTAAGTCACACTTATTTGGAGATACAGGCTGCATCTCCCTTGTGTGTACACCACATCATGCCTACGCAGCAGGGAACTCAACCTTTTAGCCCAAAACACTGTGCTTCTTGGGCCTCTGTTTTTGAAGGGAAAATCTCTGCTTGAAAATCCCCGAGTCCAGGAGCAACCTGCCCCTGAGCTGAACGTTCACAGACCTGCTCATTGATCATGATCTGTCAGTGCAGGAAAACCTTGTCTGTACCTCAGGGCTAAAAAGGGGACTGAAGCCTTCAAACCTCCTCAGTGAACCTGCAACCGGTACCTACAACTGGTCTTGTCCAGGCCCTAAATGATCTTTCTCTGCACTTTTTTTGTGCTTCCCATTAGATTTCCCTGTTACCTCTTTACTACTCCAAATAAGTAGTTCTCCGCTCAACTGAAAGGACACCGTTTTATTGTTCAGTATCTTTATTTCCTAATTTACAAAATCTGAGATGAATCTTGGAAAGTCATTCAAGGAAATATCAAGAGTTCCAGACTTCACTTGCCTGTCTCTTTTTATCCTTTTTTTTTTTTTTCCTGCAAAGAATGCTACTAGCACATATGAGATGCTGGCAAGAAGGCAAGTTTAAGGCTGTAATATAATTGAAGGACTTTATATAGAAGGTCACTGAAGAATTAAGAAACTCTGCTTGTGCTTATTTCACAGCAAGGAGAAAGCTAAAATTACAGTAGTTTACAAAGTGGTCTTTAAAAATGCTTTATTACTCTAATTCTCTACCCTTCCTGAAAGAAAATAATCACTCTCTGTCCCAGGATTCTTGGAAAACTGCACTCAAATGTCCTCCATTCAAGTTTTTTGGAGTAATTTCTCCTTTCGAATTAGCTGTTTTAATTTTTGAGGAATCATGAATCATTATTACAATGGGAACAGCTTGTCAAGAGCAAACCAAACAATTTGCAAACATTTGAGCATTTACTGAGCCCTGGATTCTCTCCAAGACATGGACTTTTAACCCATGTTATGTGTTTGTTTCAACTATTGTCTCCCCTGACATTATTCAGTTATGCTTCACACTTGCATACTGCAGCCAAGAGCAGATTTCTTTCTCCTCCAGCTGTGCAGGACATCAGGCAAAGGGAGGAGAAATATTGGGTGCAGAAGAGCAAGAGAGCACCCTGTTGATGCTGTAGCAAAGCTGTT